TGAAAAATGACTGCACCGTGCAGTCACTAATTTTTTTGCACCGTGCAAATATTACTTTTTTTCACAGTGCCATTTTGAAGTTAATGGAAGTAAAAAAATAATATTATTACATTTAGTACTGGCCGGTATGAAGCTATTTAAATTAAGTTTTACATTAATTGATTGATAAAGAATGGCACAATAATTTTTTGAAAATTCCTTGCACTGTGCAACGATTTTTTTGACTTCGAGTCATTAAAATTTCTACAAAAACGCGAATCCGAAGCCGGCTCCGCTCATTTCGTATGATTTTTGTTGCTCATTAGCGGCGCCGGGATTTTATGCATAGGTTTTTTACGGCCTTCTGGATATTATATATTTATGGTGGAATTAATGGACGGAACTAAAAGAAAATAATTACGCATAAAGGGATTGGGGGATAGGGGGAAAGGGCGTGGCAAATTAATCGGTTTCTGTTTTTTTTTGTTTTACAGCTATTCAGGATAGTGTTCGATGGAAAAACCTCGAGACTTGTTGGTCAGTAAGGCGATATTTAGTATTTGTAAAGAAAGTTCTTGCCATTCTTTCCTTAGTAAACAAGATCTTTAATGCCTTTTGACTGCACCATGCATTCATATAATTATTTTGCACTGTGCAACAAATTTTGTTTTTATCTGTGTGCGATTTCAAAACTATTTTAGGTAATAGATGTTATTGAAACTTTTAGAGCAGATCAATATAAAGCTATTAAAACTAATTTTACTTTAATTGCTTCAAAAATAATGGCAAAATAGATTTTTGAAAAATTATTGCACTGTGCAGAAAAGTTTATATTTTGCACGGTGCAGTATTTTGCCACTCTTATGTTTTGTAAAGAAAGTTTTTTGCATTTTAAGCATTGTAAAGAAAGTTCTTGCTATTCTTAAGTTTGTAAAGAAAGTTCTTGCCATTTTATGTTTTGTAAATAAAGTTCTTGCCATTTTTTTTCCAAAAAACAATAAAACCGAAGATTTGATATTAATTACATTATTCAATTCTTGTCTAACGCATAAATATTAGGGGTTTCTCGGCCAATTTGTCTTTTCATCTAATGCCGTATCAATCAGTCACTTTCATACAAATACCCTTCAAAACAAACGTTGCTCCCGTTTTTTTCGGCGTGGTAAATTTTGAAAATTGCACAATTTAAAAGTGCAATTTTGGCCTATTTTAAAAACTTTTTAAAAATTTATTTTGTAAAGAAAGTTCTTTCTATTTTTTGATTTGTAAAGAAAGTTTTTGCTATTTTCTTTACTAATTGTATCATTAAAACCATTAAAGTCCTTGTTTTACCAAGTCTTGTTGCACCGTGCAATCACGTATTTACTTTGCACCGTGCAACAAATTTTTTTTTACTTAGTGTGCCATTTCTAAATTATAATAGGTAATAAATCGTTTTTTAACTTTTAGTAAGAGGGTATATAAAGCTATTAACACTAATTTTACTTTGATTTTTTCATAAAGAATGGCACAATGAATTTTTGAAAAATGACTGCACCGTGCAAGCTAAAAAACTGATTGCACCGTGCAGTCAAATCATTCGGATTTTGCATGATTTTTATTTTTTTTAAATTGTAAAGAAAGTTCTTGTTTTTGTCGTGCAAAACTCATCGTGATTTATGAAATTGCCTACTACAATATCCAATCTCACTATATGATAATACTTTCAGCTATCCAAACCTACTGCAATATGTATTTCATGTAAAAGCGCATTGCCTCTACTTGAAAGGGCTTTTGTGACCTTATATCATGACAAAAATCACAACCCCCCCCCCCTCTCCTTTAAACCGGTCGAGGCGGATGAACACGGCCTTACGCGGGGGGGGGGGGTGTCATAAAAATTCGCTTTTTTCTTTTTTGCAAGACACAAATCTGACCGTTCACTCGGGTTTATTTGGGTAAATAAATAAGAATTGCATGATATGGGAAGGGGGTTTTATTTATGCAGCAGTTTCATATTTTGGGTGCCTTTGATGTTTTATGTATGTATAGGTAAGAGTTAGGTAACGGAAGACAACTTTTTTTTTAATTTTACTTTGGGTTGACAAAAACAGCAATTTTGTTTAATTTTATCAGTTTTTGTCTCAAAACGATAATTCGATTGCACGGTGCACTGATTTTTTTGACTGCACTGTGCATTCACTTTTCAAAAATTTCCTGTGCCATTCCTTATCAAGCATTCAATGTAAAATTAGTTTTAGTAGCTTTATATAGACCCATACTAAAGGTTTCAATAGTATTTGTCACATAGTATAATTTAGAAATGGCACAATAAATAAAACAAAATTTCTTGCACAGCGCAATAGTTGTCAAAAATTTATTGTTCCATTATTTATAAAGTAATAAATGTAAAAGCTTTCAATATCTTTGTATAGGCTCATACTGAAAGTTATATTAGTATTTAGTATCTAAGTCGTCTCAAAAATGACACTGGAATAGAAACAAAAATTTTTGCGCGGTGCAGAATAATTAATGAGCTGCACAGTGCAGCCTTCTTATACTAGGTTATTTGAAAATACCCTAGTCTATCTTGTTTTACCCTACTTTACCTTACCTTAGTCTACTTTTTTCTACCTTACCCTACCCTACTCTATACTGTATCATTCATTAGGGTTACTATAATGCCATTTTCTACACATTGCATAAACTTTTGGGTATTGTTTTTTGCCCACCGACCTCTTTGTTTAAATAATGACCTTATGATGGACTAATCCGTCAAATTTGCATATCAGCGATAATCTTAAAAGCGAAAAAACTTCTTTCTATTTATAAGGGCATTCGTGCGGTTAATCGACTTATGCATCTTTTTGTAGCGCAATCACTGTCCGGTCAGCTTTGCGGTTTATGGGGAAATCTGATATGCTTTGATTTACATAATTTTTGCACTGTGCAAAATATTTGTTTCTTTGCACGGTGCAACACTTTAATTTTTTTGCACAGTGCAATCATTCTTTTAGGTTGCACCGTGCAGTAACTTTTCAAAAATTCATTGTCTCATTCTTTTGTAAACAGTCAAAGTAAAATTGGTTTTAATAGCTTTATATACACCTAAACTAAAAGTTACAATAACATTTATTATCTAATTTACATTAGAAATGGCATAGTGATAAAAACAAAATTTGTTGCACAGTGCAAACTTATTAAATGGCTGCACGGTGCAGTAAAAATTGATTTTGTAATTTTTTTGGTTAAAGTAGCAAGAATTTACTTTACAAATAAAAAAATAACAAAAACTTTTTTTTGCAAAACAAAAAATGGCAAGAACTTTCTTTACAACTCTAAAATCTAAGTCACAATTATCAGATTATCGCCTAAACTTAATAAGTAACCTCAGTCATGCCTAATTCATCAACCTGATGTATTGTTGATGTTTCAAATACCACACCGCCTTCCTTTCACTATTTTCCCTCTCCCCCCCCCCTTTGTATAATATAACGGATCCGTATTAAGCGATTGCGTAATAAGCCGATAAACTTTTGGCCTAAAACATTTGCATAAAGCGGCGGAACTTTTGGCACCCTTTTTGATGGATTTTGTCTTCAAGGATGTTTCGGAACGGTCGCCGCTTTCTTTGCGACACTTACTTAATGACCAATTTTCGATTAGGCACATTAGAGGAGAATGAGGGAGGAGGTCGGGTTGGGGAGGGATACGGATAGCGAAGGGAGGTGAATAAAAAGGATCAATGACATTGTTTTTAAGAGAATAGTCACTGGTTTTTAATTATATTACATATTTTATAGTAAAACTTTTTGAGATTTTTAATTGATTGCACTGTGCAACCAATTTTGTTTTTATCACTGTGCCATTTTAAGATTACTTTTGGTAAAGAATACCGTTTTAACTTTTAGTATAGCTTTATTTAAAGTTATTTAAGTTAATCTTACTATAACTGCTTTATAAATAATGGCACAATGATTTTTTGAAATATGCCTGCACCGTGCAAAAAAAAATTGTTTTTATCACTGTGCTATTTTAGGATTAGTTTAAGTAACAAATACTATTATATCTTTTACTAAAGAGGGACATAAAGCTGTTAAAACTAATTTTTCTTTGATTGTTTCATAAATAACAGTGAATTTTTGAATTTTTGCTTGCACGGTGCAATTAGAAAGTTTTATTAAACCGTGCAAAAAAATTAAATTTTTAAAGAAATTTTAAAAATTGTTAGATTTTGGAAAAAAAGTTTTTGCCATTTTTCTCATTTGTAAAAAAAGTTCTTGCTATTTTTCGCTTTTTAAAGAAAGTTTTTGCTTTTATGAACTTTTTCATTTAAAATTTCGATAAAATCTAAAATCACTGTTGTAATCGGAATAAGGGAATCAACTTCCACATGGTTTGTTATATAGGCGACTTTGAATAAACAGTCGGGCGCATCTCTTCTTTATTGTACCGCCATTAAATTGAAGGGAGAGGGGTTTTCGCGCATATTGCAAATATTGTAATCGATACAATATTTGCATATGTGAAGAAATGGCCGAGAAAATGGTTTTTATTGATAAGAAGGTTTGCAAAAACTTTCTTTACAAACCAAAAAATGGAAAGAATTTTCTTTACAAAACATTTTTTTTTGTTTTTTTTAATTTTTCGTGATTCATATGTCGTGGCAGACCTCAGTATCCATAATTTTTCGTTTTTAATTTCTCAAATTTCAGGATTTCAAAACGAATTCCAATACCTGTTCAAACATCGTTCGAGTAGGCCATAGGGCTCATCATTATTTGGACAGATAAGACAGACTGTTGCACTGGAGATACAATCATCATTTACATTATAGTAGGTTATTTGAAACCTTTTTTTTACCCTACCCTACACTACCCTATCCTGCCCTACCCTATCCGATACAATCCTACCCAACCCTACCCTCACTCATTAGACCTTCGTACTTTAATAATGTTGTGCTATATAGCACTTTTCAGCTAATCCTACAGTAACTTCTACCATACTGTAACACCAACCCATACCCACAAACTTACAATACCATGAGGCCAAGCTGTCTCTCCCCCTCCTCGAGAATCCGTCTAGCAGCCGACTTTCAACGCTACAGTACCAGTGACGACGATTCCGGGTGTGTTATGGACGAGTACGCGTGGGTACCATCTGGCTGTAAACCAGACATGGTACACACCTACTTTGCTTCACTACCACATGATAAAGTACCATACGTGAATTCGGCCGGAGAAAAATGGAGAATCAGTCAGTTGAAGAGGCAGTTACCACCTCAGGATTCGGATCCAGGTTACTGTAGAGAGCTGTCTGAGGCTGAATGTCAACAACTGGTACAGTTTGAAGCTGGAAGGAAGAGGCAATGCTTGGGTAAAGGTGTGATTAGGCCTCATTTGCCTTTTGATAATCAACGGCAGTACTGTCATCAGGTTTGTTTTATGCTTTGTACTGTATTTTTGTTTTGAACGGTGCAACGGCAAAAGCTTAATTTTTGCACGGTGCAATGATTTTTTAAAATTTATTTTGCCATTATTTATTAGAATAAGAAAGTAAAATTAGTTTTAAAGCTTTATATAGACAAAGTATAAAAGATAAATTAATATTTGGTACCTAAACTAACCTTAAAATTACATAGTGATAAGAAAAAAATTTTTTGCATAGTGCAGTCGATTTTCAAAAATTTATTGTGCCATTTTTTATAATGCAAACAATGAAAAATCAACTTTAATAGCTTTGTATAGGTCCATACTAAAATTGAAAACAATATTTGTTACCTAATTTAATCTTAAAATGGTACAATAAAAAAATAAAATCTGTTGCACGGTGCAATAATGTTCTAAAATTTGGCTTTTCAAATTAAAAAAAACTAAGTCTCTATAATAATCTGGTCATTACTACCTAATTATTTAAACAAGTTAATTTGTATATGCATGTAGTCTTCTATCTCAGCCAGATGGTGAAACCCGAGAGATGCGGTAGAAAAGGGCGAACCAACCTTTTTTTGATTTATGGCACAGCTGGCCGCGATGACAGAAACGACATTTAGTCACACAATCACTAATTTATTAATAATACTTGTTTTTTAAATGTTAAAAAAATTTTTAATGACAGATTTTTCTTGCACCGTGCAACCAAGTTTGTTTTTTTACAGTGCCATTTTAAAATTAGTCTAGGTAATAAATTTTATTATAATAATTAGTATGTGTCTTTACAAAGCTAATAAAGCTTATTTTACTTTGTTTGCATTATAAGCAATGACACAATGAATTTTTTTTTAATTATTGCACTGTGCAGAAAACTTTTTTTACCGCGCTATTTTAAAATTAGTTTAGGTAACAAATATTGTTATAACTTTTAGTATATGGTTATATAAGGCTATTAAAACTAATTTTACTTTAATTGCATTATAAACAATGGCACAATGAATTTTTGAAAAATGATTTCACTGTGCAAACAATCTTCTTTTTTTCGCAGTGCTATTTTGAGATTAGTTCAGGTAACAAACTTTGATTTATCTTTAGTATGAGTCTTTATGAAGCTATTGTAACCAATTTTGCATTTCTTGCTTTTTAAAGAATGGCACAGTGAATTTTTGAAAAAATTTTGCACTGTGCAAAGAAATTAATGTTATGTGCTCCGTGCAATAGGGACAACTTTGGATAGTAAATACTACTCTAACGTTTTTAATAGGTCAGTACAAAGCTATAAATTTATCAATAATACTTACAAAAAAAATTTCAGTGCAAACAAGCCTTCACCCCAGATGACATGGTGATCGAAGCGCCGGAACGTTTTGGCAACCGTGCCTTCTGGCATCCCCAGTGTTTTGTCTGTGTGGAATGTACCGAGCTGCTGGTCGATTTGATCTACTTCAAGCACAATGATAATGTGTTTTGTGGTCGGCATCACGCCGAGCAGTTGAAGCCTCGATGTTACGGTTGCGACGAGTTGATATTCAATGAAGAATGCACCGAAGCCGAAGGCCGAATGTGGCATATGAAGCACTTCGTCTGTTGTGGATGTAGCTGTCAGTTGGGTGGATTACGGTATGTGGTGAAGGATTCTGACCCCTACTGTATCAGTTGCTACAACCAGTTGCCGCAGGCACTATGTTGTAGTAGATGTGGGCAGGAAATCGAGGCTAGCGAGCCGCGGATCACTCAGAATGAGTTGAATTGGCACACGGATGAGAGGTGTTTCAGTTGCACTGGTTGTGCCAAAAACCTTTTGGGCTGCAAGAAGTACTGTATTATCAATGGAGGGTTGTACTGTGGCCTCAATGGCTGTGAGAAGAGGCTGTTGATGGCCAAAACTGGGCATGACACTAGCTTGAATCCACTCAGAGAGTGGGATATTGAAGGTGGATTTGATGTGGATGAAGAGGAGCTGGCTGGGTTCAGTGGACACAGTGGTACTGGTACTCATTGTAGTAGCCGTAGTGGTACTGGAACAAATTGTAGTGCACAAAGTGGTTCTGGAAATGAATGTGGAAACAAAAATGGCACTAGAACCCGTTCTAGAGGACATAATAGTCCTGCTAGTACCAATTCCGGGGACATTAGTCCTAGTGGTACCAGATGTAGAAAAATCAGTCCCACCTGTACCACTTGTAGAAGAGAAAGTCCAAATAACGGCTCAAATCATTGCCAAAACCAAATGATCGTCACAAAACAGTACCAACATGACCAAATGGTACCACATGGTACACCATCCTCCTACGGCCTTCAAACACCTTGCAATGGAGCTACTGTACCTCAATATGGTAAAGCTCCCACGCCTCGTCAAAATTACCGAAAAAACATGAAGAATTTTAATAATAATTTACCCTGCCCAAATGTCATATCAACTCAAAATGGCATGAACAACCGTGATCTACCCCAAAGACAACAAAACCATGCCATGCCTTCAACCTCAAATGGATCTAATTCTCCTACTACCCCCTATGGTCAACCTACCACACCCTACCTAATAAACACCCCTTACAACCATACTGCCATTCCCTACAATCAAAACTCGAAAAACATCCCCTACGACCAAAATATTACCACACCCAGCAATATGAACTCAAAATCCACCCCCAACAACCAAACCTTCAACCCAGCCTATCTACGACCTCCAGGCCCTCCACCACCCCGATCTCCACCCTTACCTCCTCAAAATTCATTCACCCCGCCCGAGAATATCTACGAAACCGTCACGGATACGAAGCCACGCCGCTTCAGAAGGCGAAAAGTGGTGTACGATGAATCCGACTGGGAGTCCGAATCCTCATCGAGTAGTTGGAACGACCGGTCGATAAATGTGAGGACACACAAGAATCGACGAAGCTTGAGTATGGATGGGTGCACGGCCAAGCTGAATCATTTGGAAGAATGTTGTGATGACCTAGAGGAGGTTAGCCTAAAGAACAAAAGAAGGAACAAAAGACAACAGAACTTCTATTCCGGAATGCCACCAAACGTCACCAGAAGGTCAAGGTAAGCCTAAATTTCATATTTTTTAAATTTTTAAATTTGGCTAAAAACCGCTTTTGACCGACTTGAAAATGCCAAAAAATCCACAAAGGTTCGAATCCGCTTGCCTGCAAACGGCCAAAAAAGCATGTAAACAAAGTTCTTCTTTGTTGAAACTTTCGTATTAACAAAAACATAGCTGAGGTAAAATTTTATCTAAAACATCATTGCCAAAATTATTAAATTGCAGAAACTTTCTTACAAGCCCTTTAAAACGTCAAATACCCGAAAAATCAGGGGTTTGCGGCCACTTTTTGCTCTGTAAAGAAAGTTTTTGCAGCTTTCAAAACTTTGATAATGACATAAATATAGCACATACTATTTTAAATTTAAAACAGAAAATTTTTGAATTATTTAACTGCGAGAACTTTGTTTACAAGCTAAATATTACCGACTACCATCCCGAGCGGGTGCGAACCAACGGCCATTTTTTTCTTTGTAAACAAAGTTATTGCGAATTACAAGAACTTTGTTTACAAGCCATCCTTTCCCACTTGCAGCCAAGCGGAATCGAACCCTCCTGGATTTTCCTAATAAACCAAAAAAAAATTTTAACCGCCATTTCTAAACAAACCCTATTTTCAGTTACACGACAACCTCAGAAAGTGATTCAGAAGACGAAATATACATGGGCAAGTACGATGATATTCAAACACCAAAAAGGCGTCAGTTTCGGACCAGTTATCAACCAGTCGATTCAGTGAAGCGACGTGGGCCAAAACAACTGAATGCCCGGAGGATAAAGAACAAATCGCATTCGAATTGTATTGTTTCTTAAATGTTTTGATCTTCTTTTTGAAATTAGGTCTTTTTGTACAAAAACTTTGTTTACAAGGCATTTTTTTATTTTTTTGAAAAAATATTTATATTGTTTTAGGTTTATTTGGCCTTTTTTTAGGTGTTTTTGAATGTTTCATAGGTTCAATTGATAGGTATACTAAAAAGTGTATTTTACATTTTCTTTCCATTTTTTTCACTGGTCCAAACGTTTATAGCCATTTTTTCATTGAAAAACTGTAAAAAATAGCATTAACTGCCATTTTTATTTAAACTTTTATCAACAAACTAATAAACTCATGTAAAATATGTCATATTAACATTATATTACACTACCCTATCATCCACATCAAAGTTAATTTTTAAAATTATTTTTTTGAGTACCGTACTGTCACAGTACCGTACTATAAAATCCAATACCATACTATAAAACCCGAGTGCTAATTTTTAAAAATTTTATTAAATAACATAAATACAAAAAAAAACATCTGATTAAAAGTTGGGTAGAGAAATGTAAGAAAATACAACCGATTATTAGGAATTACCATGGTAGAAGATGACATGACAATAAATACCCATATTTGGAAGGACCCATTTGAAATGATAAGAATACATCAATAAAAACATGTTACATGTCGATAAAGTTATTTTTCAGTATTTTTAAGTCGTTAAAGTTCAATTTTAAACATGTCATAATGACAAAAAAATTTTAAAAATATATCATTATGACATCTTCAAGATAGTAAATTAGCAACAAAATAAGTTTTAAAACAAGCTTCTTATTCTGTATTCGTCCTACTATAATAATTTTAAGCCAAAAGTAGTCATAATGAATGAAAAAATGTGTTATGATGACATATTAAAATGTGCCATAAAAAGGCGCAAAAATCATCAAAATGCCGTTTTTAAGGTCTATTAGAACCATAAAAAATATTTAAATTAATTTTCATTACCTAAAAACTCTAAAAACAAAAAAAAACATAAAAGTTAACGACATTAACATAATTTACTCTATGTAAAAGACTATTTAGCAAGACAAATTCAAATACAATATGTTTAGAAAACTAGTGTTCCCTGAGAGTTCAAATACAAAGAAACAAATTATAAGAAAAAAGCCCGTTGACTTGAATTTCCAACAAATACCCGTATCGTGCACCTTTGATTCAACGTACTCGTGCTGTACGTTCTCGAATCCAAAAGTTTTCTTATATAGAGATGTAACCAAGACCACAGAGATTATTTTGAGCCTAATTTGAAGACATTTCGACCAGTTTTAAGTAGTAAAATCAACCAAAAACTTCGAAAAAACGGCCAAAAAATTGAAAAATGGCAAAAATTTTGACAAAATCGATTGAAATCTCGTCGAAATTGTGGCCAAACTTCACGAAAGTGTAGTCAAAATCATTGAAAATTTTCTTGTAGCTTTAGAAATTCCATTTAACTCAAATTTAAAATCGCGTCGACTTGGCTAGCGGGCTTTCGAACACGTTGTCCTTGCGTTTCTCCCTCAAGGTCATGGGTTGTGATGGATTCTGCTCCTTCTCCTCGCTTCGACCGTAGCTTCTGTCGTCGAATGGTCGTTTCCTTTCGTCTCTACGTGGCTCCCGATCTTGGCGTGGTCTTCGCTTTCGGTAATCGTAGCTATTGTCGTCGTATCGTGGGGATCCGTAGCGTGGTGAGGTGTTGTAGTCCCTCATGTCCATGTCTTTTTGTTGTTGAGCGATTTGGTTGGCCATTCGAATTTGTTGACTCACTTTTTGTTCGAAATCTTGTTCGTATTCATTGCCGGAATGTTGAGATGCATTTTGTCCTAATGGTACCGGGTTTAGTGTTGAACTTAGCGAGGGTAGACCTGAAGTTAAGCCAGAGGTTAGACCAGAGTTTAGTCCGGCTGCTAACCCTGAATTTAAGCCTGAACTCAAACTTGAGCCAGTACCACTTAAACTAGTCGTAGCGTCTCGGCTTGGTATATTCAACCCAAAGCCCTGGAGGCCTGAGGACAATGGTGGTATACTAGGCATACCTCTTTGGCCGTATTGTCCCATGTATTCTGGGTTGGTGCTGTTTGGTCCTCCAGATAAAGTAACGTTGAGATTGGCCAGGGTAGGGATAGTCTGATGGCTGGACTGTAGTGTAGTTGGACTGGCGGTCACATCGGCCGATCTGATTCTTGGGTCTCGGCTTCTTGGGTCTTGACTTCTTGGGTCTTTAGGCTTAGCGTCCAGCATTCCACCGAGTTGTAGAGATCTTGATACCAGGTCGAATTGCTTTTCGGCCATTCGCTTTAGGCGTGGGTCGGATTTGTGAATACCGGAGGTGAGATCCTGAAAAAAGAAACTTTTTAAAATAAAATTTCATTTTAAGCCTAAAAGTTAATTCTAAGCCTAAAGAGCTAATTCTAACCCTATCCAACCCCCCCCCCACTTTCGAAAAATCCACCACCCCCCCCCCAACCCCCCCCCCGCCCAAAAACCTCAATTCATCCTACCTGAATCAAATTGAGATCAAGCTGATTGTCATTAATCCTAATAGGTATAGCCACATATGGCCTTTGAATAGGTATAACCGGTGCCTCATCTCCAGCGACGATTTCGCCTGGGGGTGGTGAAGCTGGAGACTCATCATCATCGGGCATGTCGAACATGTGCTTCAGAGATCGGATGTTTTCATTCATCAGATCCTGTGTAATCTCGATTGGTTCTGCCGGCTTCGAAAGTTGGCCCAGGAGATCGTTGATGCTTAATGGAGCTGAAGACTCATCACGAGGTGGTGGAGTAGGAAGTTGTGGGGAGCGGCGGGCGGGCATGACTGGGGGTGGGGCCTGAAATGATATAGATGTTAAAATAGTTGTAAAAAGTCCAACTTTGTAGCTAACTGATGATAAAAAAAGCTAAGTAAATGCACAGTGCAAAAAATTTTGGCTTGCACGGTGCAATTATTTAAAAAATCATTGTGCCATTACTTTTATACCAATCAAAGAAAATTTAATTTTAATAACTTTATATTAACACGTACTAAAACCTAAACCACTATTTGTTACCTAAAATAACCCATGCCTTTCACAGTGCAAAAAATAAAATTATTTGCACGGTGCAAACAATATTGTACTGTACAGTGCAACAAAATTTATACAAAACGACAAAACTTACATGAACAAACGGTTTTTGATGAGGAGAAGTGTTTGAAGTCGTTGGAACAGCATTGAAAAAACCATACGTTGGCTGATGAGCCGCAGGCTGGGCATTTGTAGCCACTGGTACAATAACCGACGGGGGTGGGATTACAGTCATTGAGACGTTGCTGAAATAGCATGAAATTGAAATTTGAAAAAAAATGCTTGGTTTTAAAAAATATAAAATTTTCATAAAAAATAAATTTTTTTTAAATTTCAAGAAAATTAAATTTTTTTAAAAATTTAAAATTTCAGTACTAAAAAGAGACTTACTGTAAATCCGGATCATATATCTCGTCGAACTCTTCAGGACCATCAGGTAATAGTACTCGTCGTTGTGGTCGAGCTTGTTTACTGATCTTTTCGGCCAATGCGGCATCTTTCATCATCTAAAACAATATCAGATTAAAAAATGCCATTTTTTATTAAACCTCAAAACATTTTCTGTCAAAAATGTCGCAAATAGCTAGTACTGGCTAAACGTGACCTAGTAACTTTAAATTTGACTGCATTTTTAATGTTTTCACAGATTTATATTGTCATACCTATGATGTACCTAACACAATATAACTTTGTAAAGATCAACGCCACCTTGAAAAATCTTATCCACAAAAAGGTCACAAAATACCTCTAAATTACTATGCGTTATCAAAAACCTCAAAATTTTGTTCATTTTCCTAATTTTTCATCAAAATTACCTGACCCTGCCCATCAGCTCAACCTAACTCAATATAAATCTATATGACACCTTACCTGATCAAAAATCGGTTGTGTGTAGTCATTCAACGGTTGATGAGAAAATCTACACTCATCGTTATCACATCCATCCGTGTGAAATTGTCGACATGGGAATTCACCGTGCAAGTTCAGACATCTGACGTTCTTCTTGCAGTAGCCATGTTGATAGTACCGACATAGCTCTGGAATTCGACGAGAATCGGCGGCATTATGAGAGTAGACACAGTTATCACCATCGCGACAGAATCCTTCGCGGAAAAATTTGCATATGGTGCGTTCGGTCCACTCGGTCTTGACTGGTCCACGACGCGGTCGTTGAGGCCCTGGAGGTGGAGAGTCTTGACGGCTTCTTTTAGGTGAGATTTGACCGTCATATGGCGATGGAGACCTTCTGCGGATTCTGAAGAAATGTGAAATTTATAACGTTAACATATTTTTTCATTCCAGCCAACAAAACATTCAAAAAATTGCATTTAATACCAAAAAACCACCAAAATCACCTATGATAATATAAAAACAGTATCGTAAAAAAAGTCGTCAAATCTAAGTCAAATCTAACATGAAAAATCATAAAGATACCACAAAACCATTTAAAATCCTTCTTACCTTCTATCAAAGTCATTGTCCCTTAGATCAACGTCCCCATTTTGATCGCGACGACCACGTCGGTCATCATCATGATGAGCACTTCTGTGGGCTCCATTTATCCAGCTTTCCATCATTTCACCTTCTTTAGAAGACTTCTGAAATATTTAAAATCAGTTAACTTGTCTAGAGACTTTGGAAATTAGCAAAAAATAAATTTATATTATCATAGGTATAGCTCTAGCTTCTTTTATTTACAAAGTAAGTTTAAACTTGATTAACTGCAGTAATTTTTAAGTAATAGATACAAAAAAGTACCAGCTTTGCAATGCTAAAATGTATTTGTGTAGATTTTAAGAAGAGGCTAAGAAAAAATTCAAAAAATTTATATTATACTAGACATCTGATGTTGTTTGGGAAAAAATTTAATACCTACTTAAAAACTAGCTTGCATACTGTAATTTCTATAACCACAGTTGTAAATATATATCCCCAAAGAAGACATTCACGTATTTTACCTATCTCCTTCCAGTTTTTTAAAAGCAACCAAAATCCCATGTTATACTACATATAGCACATCATTTTTCAAAACTTTTAGACCTTGGCGCCAAGCTTGGCCATAAATTCAGGTATGTATGCCAATGTAAAACTGTTTTCAGTATGTAAAACTGTTTTTCGGTATCCTTGTAAAAGCTTGTATGCATGTTTTGTGTTTTGCTCATCGCTCTGTTTTCGTATGTTTAATGTATTTACCGTTTGTTTTGGATCATGATCCTTGTATTTCGAAGGTTTCGAAGCTCGTGTTGATGAATTGGATGAATGGGAATCTGAAAAGATACATTGTATAAATTTATCTTTAAAAATATTGCCTAAAACAAGCTTTTATTAACTAAAAGTTCAAAACTTGAAATTTTAAAAAATTAAATTAAAAATAATTTTTTTAATACCTAAATTTTAAAACAGCCCAAAATACGTTATTTTTTCAATATGCAACCCATAGCAAACATATTTTTCATTTTACCAACCTTAAATTATAAAATTCAAAATTTATTACCTAAAATCCCATTTTGCCCACTTTTACCTACTATAATATAAAAAAAAAACTAACTTCTCTTGGCTCTACGGCCTTCCTCTTCCTTGTCCGGTAATTTTGGGTCCAGTTTGTTCAATGGTACTGGTACTTCATCGTCGTCGGTGATTTCTCCTTCTTCTGGCAGTTCACCATCCTCAATATCCTCTTCTGGCTCTTCGCTCGCCGGCAATTCCACTACCCAATCGTCAGCCATCGTGTCGTCTTGAAATACGCGATTCTGATTCTCTAGTTGATTCGACAACACGTCGACCATTTCAATATGGCATTCGCCAGCGGGAATTTCGATTTTTCTGTTGTTTCACTGAATTTTTCGATGTTATTATGCTTTTCATAGGTCATATTGATAAATTTACATTTAATACTACAAAATTTGCTACTGTAGAATACAGCGCTTTAATTTGTGTAATATAATTGTAGGTTGGAAACGAAAAAAAACGCGAAAAATAAGAAAAGGTTTAGAAAAACGGATGTTTACTGCCATATTACTGATGAATATAAGCTTGATATTGTTTGGAAATATTAGTATAGCATAAAATAGTGTAAAAAACATTGAATGTTACCTCTTTGTTTCTCAAAAACATGGATATTACCTTACTTTCGAGTTGAACGCTTTCAAAATGACAAAAAAAAGAGATAAAAGCTAGCCTTTTATAACGTCCAAAAAATGTGTCATCATGAAAAACTTTGATATTGGTAAAAAAATTTTTAACTTTCAGAAATGTAAGAATAAAGCTTGTTTGTTTCGGCAACAATAAAAAAATTTAAAAACGTTTAATAAATTAACGGTTATACGTCATCCGATGACACATTTTCTGGAAATTTAAAAAATTGAAAAATAAAATCCCGCCTTTTCAAATTTTAGGTGTAAACACCTTCAAACGTGTTTTCTAATACTACTTTTTCATGCTTTTATAATAATTCCAAACAAAATCAGGAAAATTTTTAAAATCAAGGGTTTGTACTGCACGGTGCAAATACAATAAAGGACTGCACGGTGCAATACAATAAAAGGAAACTGTTAAGGCAAAACTTTGAAATTTTGCGGTAAAATGTTAACATTACAATAACGCGAATTTTTTATGTATTTACACGGAATTCTAGTATATACTAGTAAGTTTTAATACTGTTGAGTTTTCACTTATGTGTGAGTCTTTGATTCGTTGTATCTTTCGAATGTTGTGATCAAGCTTGTAGCGGATTCTTCGACCAACACAATTCAAAATTTTGAAGTCATTTAAAAAATTATAAAAAAAGAAGTTACAGATAAATTTTCAAAGTAACGATAAGTAAAAGAAGCTAAATTAAAAAATTATCGAAAAATCTATTAGTAGGTACCTTCATCAAGCCTACCATCAAGAAAGAATAATCCTGAACCTATGAAAGCAACTGAGGACACTGCGCACATATTTATTGCGTATGCTAAATGTCTGCGCGTTTTAAGCGGCAGTATATCTTTTAACATTTGAAAAGGTAATTAGTTATCAGGTTTGAAGAAGAATGATATGTACTCGCTACAGAAAATGTAACTTTCGATGGTGTCGTCCTGAATGTGGCTAAACTATTTTTTTAGAAGGTGACTAAAATCTTAAATTGTGCAACAACGGCAGAAACTTTGAAATTCAAAAAAATGAGTTTTCTAGCAACGCATTTATGTAGGTCGTATTTTACTGGTGCTTGGAGGGACATTGGCAGTAACATAGAAGGATATCCACTGTCGCCAGACGTTTTTCACTCCTAAATTTAATAGCTGCACTATTCCTAGATTCATTCACTAAAATTCTCCTGTCTGCCGTCTCTCTACGCTACACTGTCTCTTTCAACATCTCTAGCTCGCCAAAGCTCTCCTAACGTCTCTAAAAATCGCAAAAGGTCGCTTTTTTCTACCGTCTCTCATTCTAAAACGCTATTTCATCGCTACCTATCACCACCGTTATACTCTCTTCTATTTTCAACCGTATGTTCGTCTGCTTTCTCTTACGCTATCTTTTCTCTCTTATACGGTTCTCTCCTTATGCGATGAGTTTACATTTTGTGCGCACTTAAGCTAACGCTTCTCGATGCTCCGCTCCAGACAGATTACTCCACATGACAAGATCTAAAGACTAAAAACAATTTCGCAAAGACTGAATTAAAATAAAGCAACTGGAATAACATGTGACTGTGAGTAACCTTTGCTAAAGTTAAAACTGATTACACTAAAATCTTGAAAAACTTCCTTAACTACAACTAATACCAAAAGATACAAAAATACAAAACAAGGGTGAAAATAGTGTGACAAAGACTAAAAAAACTTTTAAAAATCGGAAAAATTTAAAATCCTGTAAAAACGATCACACTAACCTGAAAGCTATTTTTTAAAAGACGAACACGGTCAAGTCTCCGCTACAAGAAGCTTTATCGATCCAAGCTGAAAATTGTTAACAATTTCAAAATCAAAAATGTTACCACTCCCATATTTCCTCGTTTTACACTTTGAATATACTTTTAGCCTCAAAATCAGTAGCAGTTGTGATATGTCTGTATACCAAAGCTATCTAGCACTAAGGTTATCTATGATGTATATGTTGAAATTGCAGATAATGCTGAAAATTTTAAAGGGTTATAGTAGGAATATATGGGGGTAATATATAGCCTAAAGCTATACTGGTGAATTTTGAACCTATAAGATGCTGTGGATACTAAAAATCAATATAATAAGATTTTGTTCACGTTATCGATTGATTTTTTAAATTTTGCGCTCCACAGAACTAGGAAATTCAAAAACACCAAACTTTTGGTCAAACTGCAATTCAACACATATATGACTGGCTAAGTCAACCTTAACATGCCACTTCACCCTGATATACAGACTTTATACCAACTACACGACTTTTCCGTGCTCCAATTGTATTTTCTCGGGTTTCGCATATATATGTGAGGGTATATTCATGAATACCATTTGCAAGCAAAAATTAGTTTGGATTCTAATGAAAAAGGCGTCATCTCTCCGGCTTGTAAAGCCACTGTGTCTTGAATTATAATATCGAAAAACTCAACCAATCGATATGTACAGCCGACCGGCGTTTTTAGTGCGACTCGAATGGGGGGACGACGAGTTGGAAGATAAGAAATTTTTCGGTGTAGTGTGGGGCGTTTGGGAAGCCCACATAAACGCGAAAAGGCGGCTGCATCATGCGGAGCGGAGCCCACTTCTCCTGGTTTGAAGAGGAAATAGTGAAAGATAGATGTTAAAAGCGGGAGAGAGGGCAGACAGACATAGAAACGAAGATAGACTAACATGGAAATGATGAGGTGACTTTCTATAAACCAGACGAGAAAAGCCTAAAAGATAGCGTAAAAATGAGAAACCACATAGACGACGACAGAGTGCATAGAAAGAGGAAACTCCAGAGAAAACCAAATACAATGTAAAACCGAGAAGCAGCGATTACAAAACTAGACATAACTTTAAAATAAGAGACGAGGAAGATAGAAATAAGAATCGCAGAAACTAAAAAAAAATTAAAAAATAAGCAATAACTTCAGATAACAATAAAGACAAAAAAATCAGTTTGAAATTAAAAATTATCTTCCAGAAGTATCATCTTATTCACCAACCAAATTACAGCCTCAAAAGTTTTGTAACTTTGTTTTCAGTTAACAAAAACTAGTCTTTGGTCGATAACAACATTAATCCAATGTTATTTTTACTGCTAATGTTTCCTAAGATGGCGACAAGGAACATAAATATAATAAAATTAGTATTTATGTTCCATTACTTTAAGAATTTACTAATTGAAGACTATAGACAACAACGTAAACACAGCTGTTTACGTTTCCGGCTTCTGAATATTCAAAACAATCCGAGAGCGACTATTTGAACAGACTTCCTGACCTCACAAATACATTGCTGAATGAGAATTTCTATCAGACTTATATATATACATGCTTTGAGAGACAAAAGTTTATTCTGAAGTCCAATTTGCCCTTTAAATAGGTATAAACCTATATTGACTATAATGAGGATACTAGAATGTAAAAGCCATATGACTACAGTGAAACCAAAGATAGCCAGAAAATCATCTAAAAGACCTAAAATTCTATCAAAACTTGTCCTGACCTAAAACTCAATGAAAAAGACCTGGAATTAACAGTAGTTGCAAAAAATAATTCGAATAATAATCCTGTTGCGCTGCTTTCCTTTGACGACAGACATTCTTGTTTTCATCCGCAAAACGCTTAACAACGACATTCCATCAAATCAAGACACATCTTTCAGTCATAGAAGACGAAAAACGAATAGACAATCTGACAAACATTGGCAATAAAACGTTTTGCGAGATTTCGCAGTATTTTAAACTTTAGAGTTGTTTTGTCATTGAGACTTAATTTTAAGGTGATGTTAGCCTTATAACCTTAAACTCGCCCTTATTTTAGGTTCAGACTTTAATTTTAAGGCTATTTTAACTTAACAATTTGTCTTTAAATTTAATTGAGCCCTAAACTTTAATTTAAAAGCCTCTCTAACCATTTAAAATTATATTTTTCAAGTCAAAAAGTACATATTTCCACGTAATTTTAAGCACACATGTTCTTTCAGATAACAGTTCACTTTTATAAACATTTTTTTATTCATAACATCCTTAAAAGCGTTAAAATATCTTTTCAAAGTTCATAAAAATTATCCTAATTAAAACTTATTCTTCTTTATCAAAATCTCCGCCAAAACAAATAAACAAGAAAAATAGGTAAACATTCCAAATCGAACGTTACTTTCCCGCGTTCGTGAATTTCGCGACGGGACCAAAATAAAAAATATTTTTCGGAAAAAAATTCGTGTTGAATAAGGTTTCGTGTTCCAAACACGTCCAGATTATATCAAGGTGAAGGGTTTCACGTCGGTTACAGCTGTAGATGAACACACATGAAGGCGCTGATATCTTGTCGAAGCTTGGAAGTATGTTAATATAGGTTTTTGAAGGGATTTTTGAGGGTTAAAGTTTGTTTTCGATGTAGAAAGAAGTTGAGGTAGATGTAAAAGAATGTTAAAATGCTTTTTGATTATTTTAGGTAAATATTAGGGATGTAATTAACGTTTCCGTTTTTATTTGATATGTTTTAGCTGATATTACTTTTGTTTTTGATTAGACTTTTACGTTTGACCTTTGAAATGCCTAAAACATTCTTTTTCAGTTCTGAACTCGAACGAAGAAAGCCCAAACAAAATGAAGACGACGAGATTGGATGGCAGACGTTCCAGATCGTCCCAGCGACGACAACGTGCTTCATCGTTGAGCGATGATTCAGAAGACGAGATTGTTTTTGACAGAGTAAGAATTTTGTTATTTTGTTTGAAATTTAGGTTTATTGCTATGTTCTACTGCATAAGGAAGCATAGGAACTTTTTATTAGGCCTTCAAAACATAAATTAGGCTTACAAAATGAAGACGGGTTTATTATGGACGTTTTAACGATATTATCATAGACATTGAAGCTTTTTTAGCCTTTTAATGTTGTCATTCTTGCAGAACGCTCTTTTAAACGCACGGAAACGACGTAGGCGAAGACGATCGTCTTCTCGTTCAACCAGCGATTTGAATTCGATTCCAGAATCTAAACGATGCAAAATTACTTGTTTGTTTCTTACTTTTTTACTTATGGTAAGTTCTTTTTAAAATAAAGCTCAAACGGTGAATTTTTTGTTGTTTTAGCTAAAGAACAAGATAGTTTATATTAACTGATAGTGTTGTATTAATATCTCAAAGAGTTACAGAGTTACGTTAATTAAAAGTGGCAATGATCAGAAGCCTTTAATTCTGTTTTTACAATTTTTAAAGCCTTTATAGTATATAATACATGTATTTTTTAGGGTATGTCTACAGCGTATCTCGCATTCAAAAGGCCAAAGGTTGTATATGAAACCGCTTCTGAACAGTTAAGCGACTATTCATCAATATTAACTTATGGAGGTCTTGGTTACCTGATCGGAACCTATTTACGTATGTTTCTGTATTTTTCTTAAGTTTTTAGGTAACAAAGTTGATTTTTTGTTTACTGGAAATATTATCAGGGATTTGTTTAAACGTTTTTTGTTATTTTATATAGAATGTTAAATTAAGTTGTTTATGTGAAGATAAAACTTCAAAACTTGTTATAAATTCCGTTCTTTTAGTGTCTTTAATATTCACACGTCTCAACGCGTTCATAGCCTTGTTTCTACTGGTAGTAGCATTAATTTGCTTGACGGGCTTCTTAGTTTATTCCACATCAGTATCAACAATCATATTATTGTTCACGTTACAACAAATGGTGTACGGCGCGATGGAGAAGGGTGGTTTTCTGATGGTACACGGTATCTTCAAAGGAAACACCAAGTTGTTTTTCATGCTAATTGCTGCCTACTCACTTGGTGCTGGAATTGGGGGTACCGTGGCACAGGATAGAGTGTTCTGGGCGAGTGCTAAGAATGATCAGAGTTTGAGAGTGAAAAGGGAGTTGATGCCAGTTTTCAATTTTGAGAATAGTACTCTGCCGTTCTTGGAGGTGGCTACAAGGTAAGGAAAAGGCTTTTTTTAGACTGGGGAGAGGGGTGTTTTTTGGGTTAAACTTGGCTTTTTGAGCTTTAAAGGGTATTTTAGTGGTTTAAAACGTGGTCTTTTAGTTATGAATAATTTTTCTTTCAGGCCCCACTCAGCTGTAGGTATAGAAACAGACGAGAACCCAAAAACCCAAGAGAATCAAGAACGGCGAAAGGATATTGAGGACAAGAAGAACAAAGAAATAGCAACGAAGCTACTAGAAGATAAGGAAAAGCTGAAAAACAATCTACCTTTAACAAAAGCTGCTGAAAACACGATTAAAAATCGCACAGAAAGCTCCGATGAGACTGTGGAAAAGACTTCTAAAAAGCCTTCAACAACTACAACAGTTGCAGCAACTAAAACAACTTCAGCAACAAAATTGGTCACTCAAGCTATGGAGAAAAAGGAGAAGATGCTGAATTTCAGTCGATCCCGAAATCGACTGGCTACGGATCCACCGTCGATATTTAGCAATATGAAGGAGAAGGTCGAGGAGAATGTGCTGCAACTCTCGGATCTTCAGTATATGGTTGCACCTCTTTTTATGCCCGTCTACTCTATATTGGCTTTCATTACGGTAGCAGCGTTCGTCGTGGGATTCTGTGCTTGTTGTTTGCGGTTTCAGTGCATCGCTGATGTTAGAATTGCACAGGTAAATAGAGTTCAAGTATGTAGCCAGGGGGGTGTGTGGGAATGGATTTTAAATTTTTATGCAAATTTGTATTATTTTTTTTGGTATGTATAGATGAATATGGCTATATAGTGTGTGGGAATAAGATCAATATGCATACATAGCATATGGGAATAACAATATTAGGCAATTATTATGTTTCTATTGTGCATTGAGGTTCGGATAATTTTTTTGCACGGTGCAGACCTTTTTAGTTGATTGCACGATGCAAGGCTTTTCTAGTAGATTGCACTGTGCAAGAACTTTTTAGTGGACTGCACGGTGCAAAAGCTTTTTGACTGCACAGTGCAACAGCTCTTTGACTGCATGGTGCAAAATTTTTCTTGACTTCACAGTGCAGATGCTTGGAACCTTAAATTTAACCGCACCGTGCAAATTTAAAGAAATGAACATATTAGTAATCCTAATTGAAATGTCGTCCATTTCAGCTCGACCTAGATGTAAATTCATACCCGGAAGATACTTGGCTAGTAACATTTTTATCAGTTTGGTCAACCGGCTTCCAAGCGATTCCAGAATTCTTACTTATCAACGGATTACCGGCCCTTATCCACAACTATATCAACGATGTCACTGTGGAACAGGGAATGCTGTTTTGCAGTTCGTTTTGGTTCGCCAGCTTTTTGGCTAGACTGTTCTTTGTTTGGAGGTGAGGATTTAAGATTTTTGGGTTTGAGTTTATAAAAAATGGCATTTTATGGTTGGAAAATGGCGTTTTATGGTTGAAAAATGGGAATTTAGGGTTGAACATGTCTTGAAGATGGGTTAACATTGAAATTTTAGAATAAAAATTTTGGTATTTTGCTATTTTTATAAAAATATTCATCTTACTATGGAAATATGATTTTAGGGACGATTTGGCCATTTCTGTCAAAACTTTAAAACTCTACTACCTGATCGGATTCCCAACCGTACTGTTAACCTTTCCATTGTACACTCCAAGTGAGGCGACGGTGTTTGCTGGGCTTATGGCTATTGTAAGTTATTAAGGCTAAAAGTTATTTTTAAGGATAAATATTGTTTTTTAAGCCTAAAGATGGCTTTTAAGCTCAAAAATGGTTTCTTAAGCCTAAAAATTGTTTTTAAGCCGAAAAGTTAATTTTGATTGCTAATAAAAAGATTATAAACCTAAAAGTCGGTTTTCTTCACCTACTTTGTTAATAATATTATTATAGGCAATCTTCGTTCTCCCCCTACCCCTAATCACAAGTTTGTGGGCCCACACCAAGCTCAAGAACTCGCCTTCTATTACCACACTTCGCTATTTCCTAGCCATGTCTTCCATTAGACTGTCCGCACCATCTTTGGCCATAAGAGCAGATTCATTTGCTATCGGGTCGACAATCGCGTTGTCAATGGTGCTAAGCGTACTGCTGATTGTGTTCATGGTGAATATCGTGGAAAGGATTGGAAAAGAACGAAAAATCGACCAGTTAACTGGAGAGTTGAATGGTAAGAACTTTTTGAAGGGCCAAAACTTTGTTTAAAAGGCGAAAAATAGCAAGAACTTTGTTTACAACAAATAAAATGGTTAAAACTTTCTTTACATCTCAAAAAATTGCAAGAAACTTCTTTACGAAGTAGGAAATGACAAGAACTTTCCTTACAGCCATAAAATGGCACGTACTTTCTTTACAAAACATCAAATAGCAAGAACTTTTTTTACAAAACAAAAAATGGCAAGAACTTTCTTTATAAATCAAAAAATGACATTTTGAATAAACCTTCAATTTCAGGTCAACCAAGAGTGTCAATAGGAGCCCATTACACGCCGAAAACCAAAAAGAATGGCAAGTACGACATGCTGATGGCGGACGAAAGCGACGCCGACGTCGAAATGGATGTGGTGTTCCAGAACGAGAATTCCGAATCCTCGGATTCAGACTAGCCCTGATCTCATCAATTCTCAGAAATTTGTATATAATTAAAGATATGTCTACTACTTTGAAAATTTAAAAAAACACTTGGAAAGAAAGTTTTTTCAATTTTATGTTTTTTTTCAAAAAAGAAGTTTGGAAAGAAAGTTTTTGCACAAATTTTTAAAATTTTTGTCAAAAAATAGCTGTAAAGAAAGTTTTGACGTTCTCCTTTGGAAATCATTATGTGTAAAAAATGTTTTTGCGTTTTCTCTTAACCTTAAAACACACGATTTACAAGTTTCACGATACGATTGAACTTACACATAACCCTAGTCACAATTAGGTCTATTGACAATAATCAAAAATATTTGTGATATCCGTCTTTTTACAAAGGTAGCTGAACTAATTTATAAAAAATAAATTTTTAAAATTTAATGATGAAGTTTATTGATTCGATTAGGCTTAAAAACACATTTTTGGGCTTAAAATTAAGTTTTATCCTTAAAACTAACCGTTAGGCTAAATGATTTTTGGAGGTTACGAAATCGCCTCTAGGCTTAAAAAAGTTATATTTAAACTTAAAAATAATTTTTAGGCTTGAAATTCACTTTTTAGGTCTGTAGAATAATTTTAGGCTTAGAAATTAATTTTTATTCTTAAGAAATAACTTTTAGGCTTAAGAATGAATTGTAAGGTTAAAAATAATTTATAGGCCTAAACATGAAAATTAAGCTTTAAAACTAATTTTTAGGCTTTAAAAGTAATGTTCAGGCTAAAAATAGTTTTTAGGCTTACAATTCAATTTTTAAATCTGTAAATTACATTTTAGGCTTAACCTGCCATAAAACATCCCCGTTTTCGATAAAATTAAATTTCACTTTAATTCATTAATACGAGCGATTATTATATCTACAAACAATTTTATTCAAGTTTATCAACTTTGTTATGACGGACAAGAGTACCAAAAACCCCGTTTTCGATAAAAACAGCAGTCAATTGTTGGAAAACACAATTGACAATGACAAAAATTGCTAAGATCTGAATCCACACCCATTTTAACAGTTCAGAAGCATCAGTTTCGTAGACCAATTCTGAAGCCAAAACATGGAATTCAAATGATAACTTGAGGTAATCTGTGGTTTCGGCACTTTTTGGCTCCCAAAAATCAACTTTTCGATCCATTTTTAGGGTGTAGTTGGCTCTAAAATGGGGTTTTGAATGACTATGATTACTGTAATTGAACCTACCCTACCTTCCACTACCCTGCCTTCCACTACCCTACCATATCCTACCCCAACTTACAACATGGCCTGTTTTCTAATTTCATAAGGCTGATAAGAAACGCTGCCATAATTGAATTCGGTACCAGTTGAATTTTCATCGATATCGTCAGTGTATTTACTGAAGAGGTCGTTCTTAAAATGATAATTGCCGTACGATGGTAAGGGCTTGCGTTGATCGAATACAAGATCAGATTGGACAAAATATGAAGCTAAATTGGTCGGTCGGTGAATTTCATCGAAAATGACACCATTTGCCTGAAAATATTGTTTTGAAGAATTGTAAAGAAATTTTTTGCTATTTTTGATTGTAAAGAAAATTATTGCCATTTTACACTTTGTAAAGAAAGTTCTTGCTATTTTTCGGTTTTTAAAGAAAGTTTTTGCCATTTTCGGTTTTGTAAAGAAAGTTTTTGCTATTAGTTGATTTTTTAAAAGAATTCTTGTCATTTTTTGTTTTGTAAAGAAAGTTCTTGTCATTTTTTGTTTTGTAAAGAAAATTATTGCCATTTTTTGTTATGCAAAGAAAGTTCTTGCGATTTTTTGCTTTGTAAAAAAAATTTTTGCCATTTTTACCTGTATAATAGACCTTCTATTCAACGTGAACTTATAAAACAACATCCAATGTAACGACTTTACTTCAAACTTTTCTTCAGGGTATTTGAACTTGATTTCAATTGTTGCCTAAAAAATAGTTTAATTTTCAAAAATTATTATTTAAACCATTAAAATATCAAAAAAAAGATCAATTCTTACATAATCAGTAACTCCATTATCATCCACATCATTTTCTGTAACACTAACGATCGGAGCCATCAATCGATCATGTTGTAATTGGTTCAGTTCATCAAATGGGCTCCAGAAATAGTAATCGAATGGATCTCCATTATCTTGAGTTACAATAAAGTAGCAATTAGAGTCAAACTTGACTTCGGGTAGCTCAATGTAGGTATTGGTCTTTTTCCACATTCCTCCAGTCTTGAACGAGATCAATATTGTGATTGAGATCACAGCCATCCAACGGAACCAATCCCATAACCAAGCGGCTGTATATGATCGGCAATAGTATTCTTGGGTTAGGCACTGAAAAAAAAGAAGACATAATGTTAGGCTTTTGGGTTACAGAAAGTTTTTATGCCTAAACACAGTCGCTCAGGCTTAGGACTCATTTTAGTTATAAACAATAAGCTTTAAGCTTAAAATTATAACATTTTCAACTTTTAAAACATGAATAATCCCTCTAAATTTGATAAACAGACAGATTTTCGCTTAAAAAATTGGTTTTCCCCCATTTTTCAACAAAATTCGCTTTCCCTGGCCAAATCGATCGATTGTGACATTCCGTCGCGAAGTTGTCGCTGATTTTCTTCGACGAGAATTTATTTTTCTGGCCGAATTTTGGAAGTCTTGTTCTCCTGGTCCTTGTAACAAACGATCTAATCATGGAAGACAAGGAAAATGTAAGTTATTTATTAGTTTTTCTTGTGTTTAGGTAATAATCAAACGGAATTGATGAAAGTTGGGAATTTTATCATGAAATTTGAGTAAAATACGACTTAATTTGATTCCTAGGCCTGTAATATTTGTTGAGCAAATTCTTTCACAGTTTTTTTTAACTTGATTTTTAAGCATCAAAAATGGGTTTAGAATGATGTCCGTCTGTCTCAATTGTAATATAATTCTTTCATCGAGTTTCTCGTTTTTATGATAAGTTGTTTGTTAGACTAAAATTACTATTGATAAAGTTATTTATCCTTGTTTTTCAAGTCAATTTGAGTAAGAAAATGTTGATCAAGCATATTATAGTAGATGTACATTGAGTATAAAGTTAATTTATGATTTGAAGAACAAGTCATTTTACGTTTTCTTAAGTTTTTAACACAGCCTAGATTACGAACATTTTTTATAAAGATTATTTTTGCAAAAACGGCCAAAATTTTTAAATAATCAGATAGTTCTTTGAAATGTTACGCGTTTTAATGAAATTATTGGCCGGAAATGATTGCCCCAGTTTATAAAATAATATAATTATGATTTTGCATGGGAAAGCGATGCAGCTTATTGGTCTTTTATCATTGTTAATCATTTTTTGGACATTAATTTTTTGCTAGGAAGGTTCAACTAGGTTTGGTAGTGGTTTTTTATGTGAAAGGTCATTTTGCTTGCGCGAAGTAATTATGATTACGTACGCTATCTTTTGGAATACTAAGAGAAGACCACCTGATTTAAAAAGCTTTTTAAATATGCAAATAATATCTTTCAAAATAATTAACATATACTATAATACCAATATGTATAACAATAATTGTACTAAGCGTACCGACGTACAAAAGATGGCAATCTAATCAAGAATACAAAATTACCCTTTACAGTGATGATAAGTGTTAAAACTTATCACACTATATAAATAAATTGTTTTTCCTATTTCATTTTCAAGTTTGAGTTCAATCTAAATTTCAAGAAGCACTATGTTACCTCAAACTGACGCATATTCGATATGGTCGTGTGTTTTTTCTCCATTAAACCGCGGACTTACCTTGGAATGAACTCTCTTCATCTTGGTGCGGTCTATTGTTCCGGCTCTCTCCTTGACCTCTCAGTTTTGTTCACTTATTTGGCGGTCCAAATAGCGCTGAGAAATCGTTAGGCCGGTAATGATGGCACAGATCCAGGCTAGGCTTCCGAATAGAAGGTGTATTAGGCGAATGACTTTTTCAACTTGGTGTGGGGATAGAGTAACGTTCATGAAAGTCTGTTTAGGCCCAAATCGAGTGGTGGGTGTTTGGAAAAGCTTAGTTAGTAATTATGGAGTATTTTGTCGCAACTGAAGTAAAACGGTAGTAAATGTTAAGCTTAATTTTAAAAACAGTTGTAGAGGCAAGTAGTAGCAAAATTTTATTAGGTTAGTTAAAACTGTGGTATAGTCAAGAACGAACGCATGAAATGACCTGTGTTTCTAGAATTAGTGGCCACCGGGTTGGCATGGATACGATTCTGGCGGGAAAATCTTAATGGATTCGAATTATTCTTGTACAATGACTTTAAACCGCTTTTGTACGGGCTTAATTTTAGCCTATTAAAATTTGTGACTAGAAGTGATGTTAAAGGTTTTTCTTCACCTTTGATAACGTTAGTCATACCCCAGTACATTGATCCTGTTAGAACTTTTACTCTAAAAATGTGACCGCCGCGCATTTTTTGTAATATAAGGATTATAAACAGATGTATCACCTTATGACCAAAGGTCTCGATCCCATAAAAAGCAGCCGTTTTGTTTGTTTGCTTATGGGATTTATGGGTCCGATTTCGAAGTTTGAAGGCTCGTAATCTTAAAGTGTTCGTGGTGTTCTTCTTCTATATTTATACCAAGGTGTATCAATATCATAGTTTATTTTAAAATTTTGTGTATACAGGTGTTTATAGTTTTTGCATGTTGCGATAGTTCTCGCCATTAGATTGGTTGTTTATTTAAAAAAAGACGGACAATTTAATAGATTTCCCTGTGAATCATTCATGAAATTATTTTTAGTCTATTGTTTTTTACTTTTACTTAGCCGTCTTAACAAGGTTTTTGAACTTGATAAGGATAACTCATCACTTCCGATGTGTAAAATGGGTTGCGAACGAGTCAACCCGAACAGTGAGTCATTTGGGTTGTCGAAACGCGCTGTGTAATAGGCTATATATGACGTTATTTGCTAGAAGATGACATGAGTTAGCTAATTAGCGCTTTGCTGTGTACATGTTTTCTATTTTGATGTAGGGTAAAAGTAGTTTGTACTTTTCAGATTTACCAAAGGTTGTTCTTGTATGGTAATTTAGAGCTTAGTTTTGTAATAGTGGTATTCCTTTGTAAACAGTTTGTTATGTTTAGTCTATATGTTTTTAAGCAACTAGTGTATCTGCGATGTAAGTGAGGCAGTGAAATTCAAATTTAATGTTAATCAAAAACCCATTTATTCACTGATTTTTGAAACTTTCTCCAAAAACTGCTTCAAATTTAATCTGCAGTCGGTTGTCTGAACAATGAAGCCTCTTAAGCTCCCTTCAAAAAACTTCTTTAATTTTGTTGTCCATTCCGAAAAGAGATGAAGGAAAAGGCGCGCTTTTCGTTCAACAATTCTTTTTTCATTTAATACTCTTACGGGTGTTTTTCCTTGTTTTCAAAAAATTCTTGCTCTAACAGCTGCGGCGTCCGCGCGCCTTGTGGCCATTTTTTAAGTTGGTTCATCGGGTCTATGGTTGCGTTTTTGACCGGCTCGCTGAGGCTATGACCATTTCCTACTCGGCTCCGGGTTTTTTACTCGGCACTGGCCGTTTTTTTCACTAGCTTGTTTCGAAATTACTCTCGAAATGCCCGTTTGGAATTTTTTATTAAAACTCCATTCGTTTTATTAGTGTTTTAGAGATTAAGCAAATGTGCTTTCTGGTTCAGTATGGTCGGCTGCATAAGTTAATTTCAGTATGGAAAGGTCAACATGTTTTGGTTTTGAATTAGGATATGAAATAATTTTTTTCGAGAATTCTTGTTGTTTCAAAATGAATTTTTCTTTTTCTTTAAAGAAATCCGCCCTAAACATTTCCCGTCCCTAACCGATGACTCAGTGTCCACATTGAAGCGGTCTCACAGAATTTGGTTTACTCGGTTTTCAAGGATATTTTGCGGTCAAACTTAAGTGGGCGATGATTGTGTCTTTGCATATAAGATTCACGTAGTCCTGGGAGGATTGGCTGACATTTTCTGGCGCAAATAGGTGTAATTTTATCGTTGTTTGTGGAGCTTTGAATGTTATACTTGAAATGTAGCTTTCTCGCTGTTTGAGGAGTTATGGGATGTTTTACTTGAAACTGAAAACTAAAAAAAACATTTTTTTTATATTATGGTTCAATTTAAAATTTTTTTATAACACATTATCGCCAGAGTTTCCTGATGTTGTAAGCCGGCTTTGATTGCTATCTTGACAGAGCGGTTTTCAACTTGTCAAAATTGTTTCCCACACTTATTCGTCGTCTCCCTTTTGCGTTCGCTTTGCTCTAACATGCCATGACCTCTAATCCTGAGCGCGATTCATTCTTGACTCATGCAAAACATCCCCCTCCCTGTATCAACGCAGCCGCAAAATTGGTGCGCCGCAGGGATTAACGCGTCTTCTTCCACTGACACAGAAACTCAAGTATACAGTTAGACGCGCGACTGTGATGTTTTTGCTCCTCCGATTTGTCGTCGTCATGTTCTGGAAGCGTTTTTTTTTCATGGTGATTCCTTGAAGATTGTTGTACGCGATTTCACGCCGTTTTTTCGATTATCCAGTAGCTATTTTTTATGTTGTTGGAGCTTAAACGCCAGATATTTGTTTTCTAGAGTGTTTTTGAGGATGATGATCTTTGAATATTGTATTTCTTTGCATATGAGAAGGGTTCGAACTGTTCTTTCTTTAATATCGTCTTGGTAAACTTATTTTTCTCATAGAGTTAATGAACATCATCTATAGAGTTAAAGAATGTCATCTTTCTGGCTGTAAGCGCTGTTTACAAAGCTAAAAAAAAGGCTTTTTTTATGTTGTAAACTTTATTTACAAAGTCACGATTTTCAAAACAACCAATGTAATGCTTCAGGCTGTTGTGCCTTTCTTCAAACACAATTATGGTTCTGAAGAATACTAGTAATGTATACGGAAGTCTTTGTAGTATTTGATCACCGTAAATGTCAGGCTTGTATCCAAACATTTGGTTGGTATTTACGATTGGTTTATTGTGGGCCACTCCTTTCTTGCGATAGGTTTGTAGTTTTAGTGGAGGCGTTTAATAGACTTTAGGGTTTATAATCTTAAGGCAGGACTTACAGAAACTAGTCTATAATCTTGAGCTTGAAACATGGTTTTTTGCTAATAAGTTGTTCACATAATTCTGTGTCTCCTTGCATGATAATGTAATTTTTTGATTATTAATACTTCTCAGTGCCAATTGGCTTGTTCTTAAAAGTAGTAGTCATCCCGAAGCCAACGTTCTCATCAATAGTTGAACGATTCATAAAGTGTGATTCATAAGAAACTATTTGCATTACGTAAGCGAAAACAGTTTATTGTTGTGGTCGTTAAGCAGTTTATTAAAGAAGAAGAACGTGAAAGTAAAAGCGAAAAACGTGATAAGATTGCAAGGTTTTTTTGTGTTTTTGCGGTAGTTTGGCGGAATTTTGTCTATTTTATCAATCGGGTTGATACTGAATGAATTGTTATTGGATTGCAAGTAGGGCGGGGTAATTTGAGGCTGTGCTTTTTTTTTGCTTGAATGAGGTTTTAGGTGGAGTTTTTGGTTTTTATTAGAGTTTAGAGTTGTGTTTTCTGTAGTTTATGGGGTTCTGGAGCATTTCCTTGTGTTTTTTGAAGTTTCAATGGTTTATGAGGTTTTAAAGCTTGAATTTCGACTTGTTAGGAGTTGATGTTTGGATTGAACTGGGATGCTTTTAATTTGAAAATCGTTTAAGAAATTTTTTTGTTAAGCCCTGTTTTTATTGAGATTTTGGTTGATATACCCAATTTCTATTGAGATTTTGGTTTTTATACCCTATTCACATCGATACTGGGCATTTTTCTGCTAGAACTTACTGTTTTTGACTAATTTTTGAAAGATCTTTGTCTTCCGAACCCTTATTCAAAGTCCTTAATTTCAAAATCCAGCGAATTTCGAACAAATTGAACGATCAGCCGTCTTAACCAGACCCAAACGCGCGTTTTTTCTGAGGAAAGAGACACCAAAAAAGTCTTGACGCTCTTTTTCCATACAAAAAAATGGACGAAATTTTCGAATTTTTCTGTTTTCCAAGTTTTTTAATTTAGGGGGAGGTTTGGGCGGGGTAAGGTTTTTTAATGTAAAATGCGAGTTGAAATAATGATGTACTTTTATTTTTTTCAACAATTTTTTTTTCTTATAATATTAAAATGCCGAAGGAGCACGTATTTTACTAAAATATTCAGAATTTACGTTAATTTTTATCAATTTTATAATTGGATATTATAGTCAATAGTTGTAAAAATAATTTGTCGTTTTCAGACAGCTCATTTCCACAGAATGCCCAGCCTGGAGCAAGTCGCTGAGCTTGCAGAACACTTTCCTTCAGTAAGTTATAGTAGTTATCTACATGTTTTTAATGCCTTGGAAGGTTAAAATGGGACTTTTTATGAAAGGAAGGGTAGTTATAAAGGGTTTTTTTTAATTTTTGAATAATTTGTATTTTTAAAATTTTTTTAAAATTGAAAAAAAAGACCACAGGAGGGGGGGGACCAAGCTGATTTTTTTGGGTTAAAAAATAGTTTTTTATTTTTAAAGCTAAAATGATGTTTTTATACATAAATTTGTGCAGAATCATAAAAACAGTCTTAAAATGACCTTGCTAACAATGTTTTACAACCAAAAACCGGATAAAACCTAAAAATGAACGGAGCGAAAGCCGTGAACTTGTAATTTTCCTTTCCGCTGATCGTTATCTCCGAACGAAAATTTTGCCTAATTATGTTGTACATGATCGGTTCTTAAAGGATATGAACTATAATTGGGTTCTAATTAAGCTTTTCAACACGAAATTTGATTAACTTGAGCTTTGAATTTGAAATTTTTTAAAAAAATACTGATTTTAGCTGAAAAAGTGGATTTGAGGTCATGGAAACACATTATTGATGTTTTTGATAAAATCGTGCTAGAAAATTCTGTTGACCTTGTTGTTTTTAGATGTAGAAAACTGTGGTGTTTACATAAATGTTATTTTAAGGCATTACAAAGCTATAATTTTAGAATAGGAACATAAAACGACTTGTTTTAGCCATGGTTAATATAAAAAATTTTTAATTTTGATGGTTTTTGAAGATTTATGGACTGGTTTTGTAATTTTAAGGATAGTTTAGATACCTTCTAACCTTTGAATACAGTGTGTTTGATTTTCTATTAATTTTGTTATTTTCAGCTATGTTTGGAAGGAGGTAAAGGTGAAGTTGAAGCACAAGACATTCAAGCGGCTCTAAAAGTTCTCGGAGTAGATATTCCTGGTTATCAAGTAAGTCAGGGATAGAGTAGATTGTGTTTGATGTTTTCGAAATTTTCAAATCGTTTTGGACTTTGCACGGTGCGAATATTCTAATTTTGATTGCACCGTGCAGAATTAATGAAGGCTTTTTGGTTTTAAGACTAAAAACAAAAAATAATATGTTGATGATGATATTATAGTTTTGCTTAACATTAAAACTAATATTTTTAGTTACGAGAACGTTTACAAAAGTACGGAGACCCAAAATCGTTGAGTTATCAACAGTTTGCACAGCTGGCTGATGAACTCACGGACGAGAAGAATGCTGAAGCCAGTAGATGGAAGAAGCGAATTGGATCAGTCACAGGAGCTTATCAAGTTCAAAGTGCGGCCGAACACGGTGCTGATGAGATTGTACACACTATCAGAGTGGAGGTAATGGTTTTGATTTGATTTTTTTGTGATTTTAGGCAGCAATTTGATGGTTCCAAGGCAATATTGATGTTATGTATTGAATTTTGGAGATATAAGGCTATTTTTTGGTTGTTTAGGTCAAGAATGGCCTGTTGAAGCTTTTATAAAGCTGTTTTGAAGAAAGCTTGTTGAAAAAATGACTTAAAGGACTAAGCCTATGTTAATATGAATGTTAACATGAAAATTAAAAAAATGACTATTTTTAAAGCATGTAGGTGATAAGAATATTAGATTTTTTATTTTTAGGAAGAAGTTGCTTTCTCCAACTGGATCAACAGCAATCTAAATGAAGATATTGATCTAAGACGTCACTTACCGGTCACAAATACTGGTGGAGATTTGTATGCCAAAATTGACGATGGTCTGATTATTTGGTAAGAAATGGTTTTTAAGCTTTATAAAGAAAGTTATTGCTATTTCCAAAGCTTTAAGGGCTATTTTAAATATTTTTTAAAAATAATATTACCTAAATTACTATATTTCAGCAAACTCATTAACTTGGCCGTTCCAAACACGATTGACGAACGTGCTGTGAACAAGAAAAACTTGAACACCTACACCAAGCTAGAGAACTTGACTCTCTGTTTAATGTCGGCTCAAGCCATCGGCTGTAACATTGTGAATATAGATGGAATCGATTTGAGCAAAGGAAAACCACATTTGGTGTTGGGATTGTTGTGGCAGATCATTCGGGTAAGGGGGTTTTAGAAGTAAAATACGCGATATTGTTCAGTTTGATTTATTATGGGTCAAAAAAGTCTTGTCGTCTTTTAATGTGGAGTTAAAGGACAGAAACGACAGGACTTTTTTTACTTTATAATTTTGATTTAAGCTGAAGGATATTGTATTTTTGTTACCTAAAAATTTTTTCTGACATTTTTTAAATAATTTAGAGTTGTGTATCGAAAATTCTTAAAAAAAGTTTAAACTTTAAAGAAAAATTCACCTTTATATTGTTGTAGATTGGCCTGTTCCGTGAAATCGACTTGGTCCACGTCCCCGGACTCTTCCGCCTCTTGAAAGAAGGCGAGACCCTCGACGATCTCCGTCGTCTAACTCCAGAACAAATTCTCATCAGATGGGTGAACTATCACCTGGAAAGAGCCAAGGTTCAAAACCGCCTCACCAACTTCACTACGGATGTCACGGACTCGGTCATCTACACCCACCTTCTACATCAAATTGCACCACCACGGACCGGTGTCACCTTAGCACCATTGGACGTGAACGGCAAAGAGAACCGGGCCAATGCAATGTTGAAAGAGGCAGAAAAGATTGATTGCCGTGACTTCGTCACCGCCACAGACGTCGCCAGCGGAAATTACAAATTGAATTTGGCTTTTGTTGCGAACTTGTTCAATAAGTATCCAAATCTGCCGGAGCCGGAGGCTGATGAAATTGGTAAGGTTTTTAATTTACTTTTGGATGGAAAGAAAGTTCTTGTCATTTTTTGTTTTGTAAAGCAAGTTTTTGGTATTTTTAGTTTTTTAAAGAAAGTTCTTACCATTTTGCGATTTGGAAAGAAAGTTTTTGCATTTTTTAACTACTGGAATGAAAGTTATTGTTATTTTTCGTATTGGAAAGAAAGTTTTTGCAATTTTTAGATTTGTAAAGAAAGTTCTTGCCATTTCTCGTTTTTTAAAGAAAGTTCTTGCCTTCTCTTGCTTTGTAAAGAAAGTTATTGCAATTTTTCAAATTTTAAAATTTCAGATTTGGACGAAGTTCAAGTAGTAGAAGAGACCCGGGAAGAAAAGACCTATAAGAACTGGATGAACTCCCTCGGAGTCGATCCCTACGTAAACTGGCTCTACTCAGACCTCCAAAACGGTGTTATCATCTTCCAACTCTACGACTACATCAAGCCAGGCGTAGTGAACTGGAAGCGAGTGGTGAAGATCTTCCGAAAACTTCAAGGAATGATGGATCAAATTCAGAACTGTAACTACGCTGTTGAGCTGGGAAAACAACTTCATTTCTCGTTGGTTGGGATTCAGGTGGGTTGCTGTTACTGTAGGAGTATTTTGAAAAAAATTTTTTACCTCCTCCCTTTTTGAAAATTTTTTTTCTTTCTTTATTAATTTTTTAAGAAAAAAAAATAGTTTGACAAAAAAATTTCCTTCCCCCCCCCCTTCTTTCCTCCATTTAAAAATAAAAAATTTACCACCCCCTAACTTTACTTCTTCAGGGCAAAGACATTTACGACGGCAACCAAACCCTAACCTTGGCATTGGTATGGCAATTGATGCGAGCCTACACCCTGGCCGTTCTCACACAATGCAAAGGAGGTGACACTCTGGCCACGGACAAGGAAATCATTCAATGGGTCAACGAAAAACTGTCATCTTCTGGAAAATCAACCCAAATCCGAACTTTCCAAGACTCGAGCATTTCGGATGCACGACCCGTACTGGACTTGATTGATGCTATCAAGCCAGGAACGATCGATTACGAATTGGTACAGCCAAAGGGCAGTGATCAGGTAGGGATTGAGTATTGTTTACTCTGATTTACTGATTTAGATGGCTTAGGAAGGGTGTAAGAGGGACGTTTTTAGCCGGGCGGGGTTAAAGGACGGTTTTTGTTCGGGTGTGGTAAAAAATATTTTTTAAGTTTGGGGTGGAATTTTGAATTTATGTTCAAAAATTGGTTTTTAGGCTTATTATTTGACTTATAAGAAGCTTTCAAATATTTTTCATTTCAGGCTCACCTCGAGAACGCCAAGTACGCCATTACATGCGGCCGAAAAATTGGTGCCAAAATCTACGCTTTGCCCGAGGACATTGTGGAAGTAAAGCCAAAGATGGTGATGACAGTGTTCGCATGCCTCATGGCCCGCGACTACATGCCCAATATGCGCGAAAACGGTGAAAATGGCACTCAAAATGGACATTAATCTTATTTATTAACAGTTGATATCAGTAAAGGCTTCCTTATCTACAGTGTCTTCTTTATAGTGTAAACAATGTTTCTATCACAAGATTTATTTGTTTTATTTATTTTTGATCTACTTTTTATTCTTTTTTTATTACTTTTTTGATTTTTGAGGTTTGGAAAGAAAGTTTTTGTTATTTTTTGGTTTGTAAAGAAAGTTCTTGCGATTTTATGGTTTGTAAAGAAAGTTCTTGCGATTTTCTGTTTTCTAAAGAAAATTCTTGCAATTTCGTACTTTGTAGAGAAATTTCTTGCGCTCCAGACTTCAAAAATCAAAAATTTTTTTATTTATTTTTAATTAATCGGTCAACTCCAACACCAAATGATATTTTATAGCCGTTAGACTTGTAATTACCACGGTATTTTACCCCTTTTTCGACTTACATTGTTGAGATAAGTGTCTGAGTTTTGTAAGCAAAGTTATTGTGCCTTTAATTAAAGTTTTATTATTCGTTGTCGTTTCTAATATAAGTGTCTACTTACAGTTTTACCTTTACTATTTTGTTTGTTTTGCGAAATTAAATTAAATTTTTAAAATTTGGAAGGATTTTTTGCTTTTTGAAGGAAGTTCTTAACATTTTTTAGATTGTAAACAAAGTCCTTGCCGTTTTTTGTCTTGTAAAGAAAGTACTTGCCATTTTTTGTTTTGTAAACAAAGTTCTTGCTATTTTTTGTTTTGTAAAGAAAGTTAATGCTATTTTTCCTTATTAAACTTCTTTTTTCGTTTCGCATGGTGCAAAATTCAAAGTTTGTTTTACACTGCCATTTATTACTTGACCTATACAACAAATCTTATCACAACATGTAGTATAGACCAGTATAAAGCTGAAGATATCTATTTTATTTTATTCGACTTGAAATGAACGTTACAGCTAATTTTAGAAAAATGAATGCACTGTGCAGTTTGAAAATTTTGTTGCACGGTTCAAAAAAAGAATAAAGCATGCACTGTGCGGTTTTAAACGGTTAATAATGGAAATTTTTGATTTTTAAGGAAATTTTTTGCTATTTTTTGTTTTGTAAAGAAAGTTCTGTCATTTTGTGGCCTGTAAACAAAGTTCTTGCCGTTTTTTAATTTATAAAGAAGGTTCTTGCAATTTTGTGTTTTGTAAAGAAAGTTTTTGCTATTTCTTCTTCTGTAAAGAATGTTAATTTTGTTTTATTGAGTATTATGACTGCAAAAAAAGTCTTGTCGTTTTTAAGCGTCAAATCCCTGTTAAAAAACGACAAGACTTTTTTATCTTTTTAATAATCAACAAACTCTTCTTTGCCACTTTAAAACTATATTTTTTAGTCAAATAAACGATTAAATTCAGTCAGATCAACAATGTCATGAACTTGAACGAGGTTGTAATCGCATCTGCGCACGTCTGCCGAATCTAAAGTTACATCATTCAAGAAGTGTCACCATTATTTTACGAGTTTATGAATGGAATTAGCAAGTTTGAGAGTGCGAAGATGTTATGGATCTTATGCAATCGGTAGTTTACGGTAGGTATTGGACAGTTTATGGAAGTGAAAAGGAGGTAAAGCCATAAGTTTGATTTAGGTCTACTTTGAGGCTTATCTTTATGACTTACTATTTACAATTTTACTTTTGGACGGAAAGTTTTTGCCATTTTATGCTTTGTAAAGAAAGTTCTTGCCATTTTTTGTTTTGTAAAGAAAGTTATTGCCATTTTTTGTTTTGTAAAAAAAGTTCTTGCCATTTTTGGTTTTGTAAAGAAAGTTCTTGCTATTTGCTCGAATGTTTGACCACGAAGGGTGAACAGTTGGATTTTTTAAAAAATTTAACAATAAAAAATTTTTTTCTTTAAGCCTAAAAGTTCCAACATAGATTTGAAAGGTGAAAGTTGTTGACTAGGCTTAATCTTAAGAAAAAAGTTTAGTTTAAGTTTAAAAATTTGAAAAAAAAATTTAAAAATTGGTTGTTAGGCGAAAAACGAAGCTTTATGGTTAAAAGTTTGGTTGAAAGAAAAAGTTAGGCTTGTTTAAGCCTAAAAATCTTTGAAACAAATAAAAAAAAATTTTTAGTATTAAAAGCCTAAAATTTTTTCTAAATATAACAATGATTTCAAGCTTGTTTTTAAGCCTAAATGTCTTTGAAATTAAATAGCGTTTCTTAGAATTAGTGTAAACTATCTTATGTTTTTTATTAAGCCTAAAAAAGCTGGCGAAATTAAGCTTAAAAATAAGATGTTAAGCCTAAAATTATGGATTAAAGTAAAATACGTAATGTCCATCTTTAAAAGACAACTCAAACTTATATTATAGTAGGCATCAGACGGCTGTTTGTCCGATTTATGACTTTCTGTTGGCCATGTGTGCGCGGCGCCGAACTTTGTTTCATGCCAATGATCCAAGTGATGGATCTAAATTAATCTTTTTCAAAATTCGGATTTTGAAGTGGAGAAAATGACGTCATTTTGATATTTTTAAAATTTCTCGAAGCCTAAATCATGTTTTGGAACTTTTTGGTCTGTAAACAAAGTTATTGCTATTTTTATGGTATGAATTTGTTTTTACAATCTACAAAACGAAGTTGAACGGGTATATCTACTAAATGTTGTCATTGCCGCACTGTGCAATCTCATATTTTTTTTGCACTGGGCAGTCAATATTCGTTTTTGTATTGTGCTATTTTAAAGTGGTATGAAATAGTAAATTAGATAGTAATGTTTAAAACAGATTCATATGAAGTTATTAAAACAACTTTTGCTCTATTAAGTTAATAAAGAATGACATTAAAAAGCTTCAAATCTTGACTGCACGGTGCAGTTTGAAAAAGCAATTGCACTGTGCAGTTTTTGAAATTTTTAAATAAAACTTTTAAAATTGGTTTAAAATTTATTTTCAATTTATGCAAAGAAAGTTATTACCATTTTTTAATTTTTTTCAACATTTTTTATGTTTATATTGAGGTTGGTCTACCTATACATAACATATGTGGCAAAACTAACCCAATGTCATAATATTGATGTAGATCAAGGAACCCAACAAATCCTTAATGTGTGAAGAAGATAATCCCCTATATGTTATGTCTTTGCGATCTGTTAAACATCCTTTATAAAGCATTGTATTTGCTATGTACTTACCACGGTAAGACGGATCGTATGTCGGTTCGAGATTACATAAGCCCCGACATAGGATCCGCCGCTCTCTATTAAAGGATGGTTACAGAGTCACTCGACTTGAATTGTAAAACGTTTTACAATCGCCGCGCCCTTATTGAAATAGGTATGGGACTAAAGTGAGCCGCCTGGCCTAGGGGCATACTAAAAGTTCTAGTTGACTGCTTGGGTGTTGGAGTTGGGAATGTAAAAGGGAGTTTATTGAAGGGGGGGGAGGTACTCTTGTTGAAAAGAAGCTAGTTTTTTCCTTGGAAAGAAAGTTCTTGCCATTTTTATGTTTGTAAAGAAAGTTCTTGCGGTTTTTAATGTTTTGACTTAAAATGGCAAGAACTTTCTTTCCAAACTAAAAAATGGCAATAACTTTCTTTCCAAACTAAAAATGGCAAGAACTTCCTTTACAAATCAAAAAATCGCAATAACTTTCTTTACAAAACAAAAATTGGCAAAAAAATCCTGAAAATACCATGTAAATCAACACGGGTACCCTGATCTTGACATGCCATCTGTTGGTCAAAAGTCGGGATCATTAATCCCGCGAAGCAAAAAAAAGTTTGTGCCAAATGATGGAATGCATTGGTTTTGGCCAAATGCGCAGATCAAGAATACCGTAAGCCTATTCTCTTGTTGGAAAGAAAGTTTTTGCAATTTTTTGATCTGTAAAGAAAGTTCTTGTCATTTTTTGGTTTGTAAAGAAAGTTCTTGCCATTTTTTGTATTGTAAAGCAAGTTCTTGCCATTATTTTGTAAAGAAAGTTCTTGCCATTTTTTGTATTGTAAAGAAAGTTCTTGCCATTATTTTGTAAAGAAAGCTGTTGCCACTTATCTTTTTTTTAATTAAAAAACCTTGTTTTTCCACCTGAATCCTTTCCGTAAAGAAAGTTTCTGCGTATTGTTTGGCGCACGCTTCCCTTTGATGACATTATATTCAAATTGGAAATGCAAATGCAGAATCAAACAAAAAACCCGTCGGAGGCTGGGCTAAAACTTTTTTGGACACATTGGCCGGATGTTCTTTTATAGAAAGAGAGAGTAAAGCAAAAAGAGAGGTTAGACAGAGAGGCAGAGGAATAAAAGGTCTTGGCCGCGCGATCAAAAGAAAAATCGAGCTGAATGGACATGGTTAATGTCGGGTAGGGGGTTTGTTTATTGGCAATCGGGCAATTTGGCAATTTGGCATTTTTTATTTTTTTTTGCTTTGGAAAGAAAGTTTTTGCTATTTTTTGTTCTGGAAAGAAAGTTTTTGTCACTTTTACGTTGTAAAGAAAGCTTTTGCATTTTCAAAACCAATTATAAAGAATTTGCATTTCGCAGCCTGCAGGGGACAAGTTATACGATAATTAAAATTTTAGGCTTTGTAAGGTAAGTTCTTGTTATTTTATGATTTGTAAAGAAAGTTTTTGCTATTTCAAAGCTAAATACAAAAAATTTGCGTTTTGCAGCTTGCGGGTGGCATTTTATACGATGAATGGTCATTTTTTGTTTTGTAAAGAAAGTTCTTGCCGTTTTTTGTCTTTTAAACAAAGTTCTTGCGTTTTCTTTCTAAAAGATCCGGTTTTTTTTGTTTTACACACCTGCAGGTGACATGTTATACGATGAATGGCCGTTTTACATTTTTTAAAGCAAATCTGTCATTTTTTGCTTTGTAAAGAAAGTTCTTGCCATTTTTTATTTTGTAAAGAAAATTTTTGTCATTTTTTGCTTTGTAAAGAAAGTCCTTGCCATTTTTTCTTTACGTAACTCACATTTCAAAATTTGTAAAGAAAGTGCGTACCTAACCTCAAACAAACTTTCTAAAAAGACATACCGGACTTGTTTTTGAGGGTCGGTTACAG